CCCCAGGAGAAACATGTCACAGCACTTCAACAATCCTATATTGTTATCCAGAATTAATAAAACCTCAAGGAAGCAGATGGAATGGCTTGAATGAGTGGTTGGAGAAACAAATATTAAGTGCTACTTCTTCCAAGTGGCTACAAGATTTCAACCCAAATGTGGTTACATGCATAAAGGATAATAGTAGGGAGGCGTTAACCTGGGGTCAAGTGCTCCATACAATAATAAATCAGATCCAGAGCGATTTGGCAGTAGATAAAGACCAGAAAAGCAGGAACCTTTTATGGACAGGGGGGGAGTGGTACAGCATTTTGAGCCAAAAAAATAGTCTAGATAAACCATGGAACAAAAGTGACATCGGTCAAGGACTTCTCCTCACAATACTATGCATATTAACAGGCTTGACAAGTTCCAAGGAGCAGGAACAGGTGAAATATCCTGACAGGAGCGAAATATGTGGCCAAGTAGATCAGGTTCTAACGGTAGATTGGACCCAATGGAAGCCATGGTTGGCGGGCAACCGGGGGGTATCGGGACAGGAGAAGCATGAATGTAACAACCAGGCGGGGTCTAACAAATGTAAGACGGCGAGTATGAGTTTAGTATTAACAGTATATAGGAGTTTGGCTAGTCTTTGCCCAGAGTGTGGGCCCTATAGCCTCGCTCGGTGGATTGATGGGGTTCAAGATAGAGAAATAGAGCAAGGACAAAGATATTGTGAAGTTAAGCAGAGGGTAATAAAGTGTGACAAGACAACGAACCGGAATTGGGGACTAAGTGATTTAAGAATAGAAACTATAGGGACGCTTATACTACCCCCCAAACCAACTGAGGCCTCAGAGGACGACAATGGACAAAAGTCAGGGGAGAAAGAAGAGGAGGCTAAACTATTGATATCAGCAACAATTCCCTTCCCTTACAAAAATTCCTTACACGAGGAGAGCTACACCAAATCCCAAAACCTCCCTGTGACGGCTAAGAACTTGCATACAACTACTACAATCTCAAGCCTCCAGAAGCCTACATTAAGTTCCTTCGTAGAACCCAGGAGGCCCTGGACCCCTACAATGGATGGGGGGTTATCTTCGAAACCAGGGCGTCTCCCTGAGGAGGATAAAGAGGATATGAATACCGAGGCCAGCGGGACTAACGTGGACAGAGGAGTACAGAAAACTAATACAGTTAGCTCAGGTTCAGGAGTCTACGAACAAAAGAAGGACGGATCGGCGGTCCCGACCCACGAGGGACAGGAAGATGCGGGTATCACTAGCCTGCTCGGGAGCACCGTGGGTGGTGTCGTAGCAGTTATATTACTAGCAGTGGCAGGCGGTTATGGGATATTTCGAATTTACAAAGGCGGAAAGACAACTAACTCTGGGGGGGCAGGATTACCTGAGATAAAGCGAATAAGTTATAGTATGAGGGAAGATTAGGCAGCCTGACACCTAAGACGTTTCCAGAGTAGAATCCCTCCATGAGAAGACCCGGGGATGCCAGAAGAGGGATGGGTCTAGAGCTCCTCTGGAGAATCAGATTTCACAGGAGGAGCAATGAGTGGTAGTTCGAGTTTGGGCATTAGGATACGAATTTACCTTTTAGCGTTCAGGGTTTAGGGTTGGGAACCAACCAATACTGTTATGAACTCGGCTGCAGTCGATTTAGTACTGTCGTCTAGAACATTGAAACAGCCCCTATTTGTGCCCTTGGGTGCAATTAGGGGTTATGTCCGCCAAATGATTACCTTCCTTCCATATGTTAGTAATCACCAAGAGGATATGATATGTCTTCAAGTGGGTCCCCACGGTGTCTACATTGTGTTACTATGTATATCTTCTTCCGTTTTATTAGTCTGTTTGTGTGTTAATTATTTGTGAAACATCCATTGTATGGTTGTTAGAGGACTTAGATTGTCCCAAGGGAGGTAGTGAATGAACACCTTTTGTTCCCATAATTATATGAGAAGAGGCGTCTTTATCAGGGGAGGAATGATTCCTGAATCAGGAAATCGGCTCACTTTCCTATGACGTGGTCTGTGTTGGGATGTCCTTACCTTATAAGGAGTTGTAACAACGGAATATCCCCTGAACATCCCGGAGGAGTTCCATCTCGGAGTTAGAGGAGTTGTTGTTTTATCGATTTGTTTCGTTGAGTCCCATCGCAAGGAAGTAAACACCCCCCGTGGGAATGTGTCCTATTCCTTAGTAGGGTTAGGGAAGTACCCCCATTGGGGTGTTGTCTTATAAGTAGGTTATAGGAGTACCTCCATCTAAGGGGTCCCCCAGAAACGATCAGTTCATCATTTGTTACATATGTTCTATGTTGTCACTTCGGATTATTAGCATGGTCGTGGTGGTGTGTTATCGATAAACAAGTGTATATGTAAAGGGCCAAGTGATAAATAAATCATTACGCACTGCCTGTATAGGTATTTTGATAGATTCAGGTGATCACCAGGCCTTACCTTACAACCAAGGTCAGATGAGTAATATCGAAGCCTATTATCCTAGTAAGAGTAAAACTCCTGTTCTCCCGGTCTAACGTTAAACCGGAAGTGGACAAGTAGTGTGGATTCTTTAGCACTGAACAATCCGATATGGAGGAGTAATTGACACTTGAATTTCACTGAGAAGATGTTGAAAGATGGGAATGTTTGGGAGGGAGAAGCACCGACGATTTTTCAGCCGACCTAGAATATCCAACAGATTTATAGGTAAGAAATAAATTCACTCGAAACTAAAAAACAGATGATTCCTCATGTTAATTTTATTATGAGAATTTACAGGACTAGAAATATTTCAAGAAAATAAGAAGGAAACATGATTTATCTGTTTAATATTATTCAAAAGATCCTAATCCCAACAACTAATTAACCCAAACTAAAAAAGGCAGATGTTTGCCCGGATTAATATTGTTTCGGACATTACCGTGGATGAGCGTAATCAAGCAGAACACCGAGGGAAGAATATTCCCCCCCCTTTAATTTTATTACATACCTTGCAATAGCAGAAATAATTCCCAAAAAAAAAAAAGGCAACTTTTCGACGCCCACAATTTTATTACATACCTTGCAATAGCAGACATAATTCCCAAAAAAAAAAAGGCGAGTTTTCGACGCGAGTAATTTTATTAGATATATTGCTATAACAGAAATAATTCCCCAAAAAAAAAGAGGCGAGTTTTCGGCGCGGGTAATTTTATTACATATATTGCTATAACAGAAATAATTCCAAAAAAAAAAAAGGCGAGTTTGCGACGCGGGTAATAATTTTATTACATATATTGCTATAGCAGAAATAATTCCCTCAAAAAAACGCGAGTTTTCAGCGCGGGTAATTTTATTACATATATTGATATGGCAACAATAATTCCC